GGACCTGCCACCACAGAGCAGCCCTTGGACAGTGTCCAGTCCCAGGAGGTTTCTGTAGGGCAGAGCTGATCACATGGAGGGTGATATGGGATCTGTGAGCAGTGGAAGGGGCAATACATAGGGACAGAGGAAGAGCTGGCAGCAGGGACAGCTCCTGCAGCAGAGATGGGCAAAGAAGAGGAAGGAAGTGCAGGGCAGGAGCCGCCTCCTCTGCAGCCAGACCGCCATCAATATCCAGGGGCATCTCTCCTGCCATGGGCCCATTTCCTGCAGCGCAGGGCTGAGAGTCACTGCTCTGTAATATCACCCTCTGCGAAGCCGCATGCCCAGCTGCGTAAGGTGAAGGCTTTCCAGGATGCCTCTCTGTGCCTCTCCTTGCCTGCCTTGGTAGCAGTGTCATGGTCTTGCTCCTTGTTTCCCCTCCTCCAGGGTTGGGTGTTTTCAGCTGCAGTTCAGATGCTGATGCTGCAAGCTGTGGAACAGAGGGGTGTGCAGGGAAGGAGGTTTTCCATTCCCCTTCTGTCCTGTGCCTCTCTATGAAATGCAGTCCAAAGGGCTGGGAAATGAGCTGTATCTCCCTTAAGGAGAGCCCATCCTCACTGCTAATGGTCCTTTGGCTATTTCCCTGTGCTGTCCTTCCAGGCTGCCCCCTGCCCTCTAGAAAGGCTCTGCTTTATGAGAGGCCCGTGAGGAAGCTGCAGAGATGCTGAGGGTATGGAGGTGGTGGGAAGAAGCTGTCTATGGGCAGCTGAAAAGAGCCCTGTGAGTTGTGGGCTAGAAGAAGAGTGTGGAGACCTCCCTTAAGTATATGGAGAAAGGATGAGAAACTGAAAATCTGCGTTGTGAAACAGGACTCCTCTGCCCTCTGCAGGGTGTGCTCTCCTGTTAGGGCAGCATAGGAGTGTGATCATCCTCCAGCATTGAACAGCTGGGAAATAGACTAAGAGACAAATGAGATGTCCCTAATCTGCACATAGCAACAGTGGATGGTTTCCTCTCCAGACTCAGAGTAGAAATACCAAGGAGGACTAATTTGAGGAACACTCTCCAGGGGCGACAAGCACAGCTCCAATCAAATAAAAAATATTGAATAATTCCATAAAACTCTATTCCTCAAACCACCATCTTTATATTTGGGAGGGAAGATGCTGAATGGCCTGTTGACATCTTGAGCGGATTTCACCTGACCAAAAAGGTAAATGATCAAGCTTGTCACCTCTGTTCCCTGCTTCCCACTGCTGTACATCCGGACAGACTCCCTGCGGTCCAGGGGCTGAAGTCCCTTATCCTCACAGCACACACAGTCAGTGCAAAGCAGAACTCAAGCAAAGTACTGAAAAGAAAGGTCCACTCAGTAAAGACAGAAGCAGTGTGAGAGTGTGTGGGGGGAGGGTGTATGAAAAATGAGCAACTAGGGAGTTTTTTTTTTTTTTCTTGAAAAGTTAGCTTCTCAATTTCTTCTTTTCTTTGGACAGTACCCAATGACATGAGGGAGCAAAATGTCCACCAGTAACTCTCTTACTGCCTTCCTCCTCCTGGCATTCGCAGACAGGCGGGAGCTGCAGCTCTCGCACTTCTCACTCTTCCTGGGCATCTACCTGGCTCCCCTCCTGGCCAATGGCCTCATCATCACAGCCATAGACTTTGGCCATCTCCACACCCCCATGTACTTCTTCCTCCTCAACCTTTCCTTCCTTGACCTCGATTTCATCTCCACCACTGTCCCCAAAGCCATGGCTAATTCTCTGATCCACACCAGGATCACTTCTTACTCTAGATGTGCTGCACAGGTCTTCCTGTCTGTCTTCATGGTAGGAGAGTTTTGTCTCCTCACAGTTATGGCCTATGACCACTATGTTGCCATCTGCAGACCCCTGCACTATGGGACCCTCATGAGCAGCAGACATTGTGTCAAAATGGCAGCAAGTGCCTGGGCCAGTGGCTTTCTCAATGCTCTCCTGCATACTATGAACACATTTTCAATCCACTTTGCCAAGGCAATGAGGTGCAGCAGTTCTTCTGTGAGATCCCTCAGATCCTCAAGCTCTCCTGCTCAGACTCCTACCTCAGGGAAGCTGGCCTTCTTGTAGTTAGTGCTTGCTTCATTCATTAGTTTTCATTTTCATTCTACATGCAGATCTTCACAGTTGTGCTGAGGATCCCCTCTGAGCAGGGCCAGCACAAAGTCTTTTCCATGTGCCTTCCTCACATTGCTGTGGTCTCCCTTTTTTGTCTGCACTGCATTTTTTGCCCACCTGAAGCCTCCCTCCATCTCCTCCCCAGCTCTGAATCTAGTCGTGGCTCTTCTGTATGCAGTGGTACCTCCAACAGCATGAGGAACAAGGAGATCAAGGACGCACTGAGGAAACTGGTTCAGTTGGTACTAGTTCCTCAGAAATAACCTGCCCATCTGTCTTCCCATCTGTATCATTCTTGGCTTTGCTCTAATAAAAGCGGATTTCCTCATTGCGTTTCTGCAAGGAGGATGGAAGCAAGGAGGATGGAAAGTAAAAGAAACTAAACTAAAACTTGTCTCAACCCAATCTCTACCTAAACCTCACCCTAACTCCAACCCCTAAACCTAAATCTAAAACCTAGTCTAACCCCACCTTAACCGTTACCCTAAAACCTAACCCTAAACCCTAACTGTAACCTTAAGCATAACTCTACCATTACCCTAGCACTAACCTTACCTAAACCTAACCCTATCCCCTTACCCTAATAATTAATATAACCCTAAATTTCTAAACTAAAACTAAGCAGTGTGCACTAGCAGCCACTGTACAAAGCAGTACATGCTAGCTCACACCAGTGCACAGCAGTACATACAGGTAAAAACCAGTGCACACCAGCACACACCAGTAGATACCACCACAAACCAGTGAACTCGAACAGACACCAGTACAGAGCAGTGAACACCAGCACACACCAATACAGACCAATACCTCCCAGTACAGACCACAACACATGTGTACACACCAGCACATGCCAGTACACACCACGACAGACCAGTGCACACCAGCACACATTAGCATATCAGGGCGTTCAGTGTGTGTATACTGGTGTGAGCTGGCATGCACTGGTATGTACTGGTCTGTGTTTGTGTGCACCAGTGTGCACTGGTGTCTGCTGGTGCGCACAGGTTTGTCCCTGTGTGCACTGGTATGTGCTGGTGTGTATTGGCAAGAATTGGTGTGTTCTGCTGTATGCTGGTTTGTACTAGTCTCTACTGGTATGTGCTGGTGTGATGTGGTGTGTACAGGTTATGTCCTGGTGAACACAGGTGTGTATTGCTGTGTGATGGTCTGTACAGGTGTGCACTGGTGTGTACTGGTCTGTACTGATGTGTAATGGCGTGTAATGGTGTGCGCTGATGTGCAATCATGTGCGTTGGTGAGCATGGATGTACATAGCAGCACACACACTGGTGTGTGCTGGTGTGTACTGCTTTGTGATGGTGTGCACTGGAGTGTCCTGGTGTGTGCTGGTGTGTACAAGCATGTACTGGTGTGTGCTAGTTTGTGCTGGTATGTAATGCTTGTGCTGGCCTGTACTGGGGACAGTGCTGAGCAGGACAGTGAGCCACCGGAGGGACATGCTGCACATGCAGTACACAAGGAGCACTGGTGTGTGCTGGTGTACACACATGTGTGCTGCTGTATACAGATGTGTACTGGTTTGTGCTGGTTTGCACTGGTATGCACTGGTGTGTACTGGTGTGCAATTTCGTGTACTGGAGTTTGCTGATGTGTACTGCTATGTACAGCTGGTGTGAGCTGGTGTTCCCTGCTCCGCACTGCTGTGTAATTCTCGTAGTGTGCTGTGTTGTTCAGTGATGTGTACTGCTTTGTACCAGCGTGCGCTGGTGTGTACTAGTGTGTGCTGGAGTCTACTGGTGCTTAGTCGTATGAACTGATGTGTAATGATATGTACTGGTGTGCACTGTTGTGTACTGGTATATTCTGGTGTGCACTGTTGAGCACTGGTGTCTAATGGTCTTTACTGGTGCTGGTGTGTTCTGGTGTGTTTTGGTGTGCACTGGTCTGTACTTTTGTGCATGGGTGTGCACTGGACTGCTAGCGTGCACTGGTGAGCACTGGTGTGTTATGGTCTGTACTGGTGTGCCTGTCCGTACTGGTGTGTGCTGTGTATACTGGTGTGTCCTGGTGCTCACTGGTGTGTGCTGGGGTGCACTGATGTGCACTGGTTTATGCTGGTGTGCATGCTGGTATGTACTCTTGTGCACTGGTACGTTCTAGTGTGTAGTGGTGTGTGCTGGTGTGTACTGGTTTGAGCTGGTGTGCAATGGTGTTCACTGGTGTGTGCTAGTGTGTCTTGGAATGTACCAGTGTGCACTGGCGTGTACTGCAGCGTGCTGGTGTACACGGTGTGTGCTGTGCGCTGCTGTATGCTGGTGTGGGCTGGTGTCCACTCGTGTTTGCTGGCATGCATAGGCGTGTACAAGGATCTCTCCCGGTCTGCACTGGTATGTGCTTGTGTCCTGGGATCTACTGGTGTGTGCTTGTGTGCACGGTTATGCATTAGTGTGTGCTGCAGCACTGGTTTGTGCTTGTGTGTGGTGGTGTGTACTGCTTTCCAGTGGTGTGTGCCCATGTGTAGTGGTGTGCACTGGTGTGTGTACTGGTTCCAATGATGTTCAGCTTGTTCATCAATGACTTTGATGAGGGGACAGAGGGCACCTCCAGCAAGTTTGCAGATGATACCAAACTGGGTGGAGTGGTCAACACTCCAGAGGGCTGTGTTGCCCTTCGGAGGGACCTAGACATGTTGGAGAGCTGGGCAGAGAGGAAGCTCATGACGTTCAACAAGAGCAAGTGCAGGGTCCTGCACCTGGGGAGGAATAACCCCAGGCACCTGTACAGATTAGGGGTTGACCTGCTGGAAAGCAGCTCCGTGGAGAGGCATTTGGGAGTCCTGGTTGACAACAAATTAGCCATGAGGCAGCAATGTGCCCTCGTGGCCAAGAAGGTTTCATCTCCACCACTGTCCCCAAATCCATGGCAAATGCCCTCTGGAACACCAGGACCATCTCCTACTTGGGATGTGCTGCCCAGGTCTTTTTCCTCTTTTTGTTTGTATCAGCAGAGTTTTCTCTCCTCACAGTCATGGCCTATGATCACTACATTGCCATCTGCAGACCCCTGCACTATGGGACCCTCCTGGGCAGCAGAGTTTGTGTCAAAATGGCAGCAGCTGGCTGGGCCACTGGTCTGCTCTATGCTCTCTCACACACTGTGAACACATTTTCCATACCACTCTGCTATGGCAAAGTCCTGGACCCGTTCTTCTGTGAAATCCCCCAGATTCTCAAGCACTCCTGCTCGGATTCCTACCTGAGGGAAGTTTGGATTATTGTGGTTACTGCCTGTTTAATGTTTGTGTGTTTCATTTTCATTGTGCTGTCCTATATGCAGGTCTTTAGAGCTGTGCTGAGGATCCCCTCTGAGCAGGGCCAGCACAAAGTCTTTTCCATGTGCCTTCCTCACATTGCTGTGGTCTCCCTTTTTGTCTGCACTGCATTTTTTGCCCACCTGAAGCCTCCCTCCATCTCCTTCCCAGCTCTGGATCTGGTGCTGGCTGGTCTGTATGCGATGGTGGCTCCAGCAGTGAATCCCATCATCTACAGCATGAGGAATAAGGAGCTCAAGGATGCTCTGAGGAAAGTGATTTCATAGACATTTTTCACCAATGGTAAAATTGCTTTTGCTCTCCATAAGTGACTCCGGCTGCATCTCATGTCAACACTGAGTGTTGTTTCTTCACTTTGTTTTTATTAGGACTAGTAACAGTTGTAGTCATTGTTATAATGTTACTACACAGATGCTTGGTTTCATTCCAGCTTGAATGAAACTGCTCTGCCTGATCTGATACCCACATCAAATGGTGTCTAAGGCTGGGTCACAGTGTGGGCAGAGTTCACTGCCTCACAGTATCTCTGTAATAAAGTGGATGTTCCCCCATGTGGCGCCTGAAGCTTGGGCTTTTCCTCCAAAGATGCTATCAAGAATGCATGCCTCCTGGGACAGTGTTTGCCTGGCATGGACAGAGAGTGGAGCATCATGTAGGGACATTCCTCCAAAATGAGAGAACATGGGGTGGAGGTGTTATGGGAATGGCTGGCAAGATCTGAGGAGTGATTTGGAGACCTCAGAAGAAAGTCAGACTGGCTTGAAAGAGTCTTGGAGAGAAAAGAAAAAGAAAAAAGAAAAAAAAAATGACATTTAATCCAAGAGAAAGTTCGAAGTATGGGTACAGTAAAGTGAGGACAGAGTCAGACGTCCTTGCTGTCCTGGCCCTTCCTCAGGCCTGGGAAGTGGTTGAGGAAGGTTTAATGCTCCCCACCTTACAAGCTCATAGTGCCATCATCCTTTCTGATGGGTGACACCAAAAGGAAAGCTGGAATCCCTTTTGGGGGCCTGCACTGAAGGAAGCAGGACGAGGCAGCTCTGTCGGCTGCTCTCCCTCAGGCCCTGTCCCCAGCACACATCCTTGAGACAATCTATATCCCCGACCCCACATGCTGCTCTTTACCCCAAAGGTCACCCCAAGCAAGCACTTCCCAAGCACCAATCCATGCCCAGCTGTAGGACTGGGAATCCAGCTGTGAGCCCTAGAAGGATGAGTCCTGTCCCGGATCCTTCACAGATCTGGCAGAGAGCAAACACATGAGATCTGAGGCTTTCTGCTGGACCTGTGGAAACTGGCCAAGAAACTCCAAAGCAGACCCAGACCCAGCCCCTTGCAGCACCCATTCCCAGCACTGTCCATTCCCCATGGTCCCGGGAGGGCTCCTGTTTGGATGTGCCTAGCTCTGTGTGCCTACTGGGTGCAGCACCTGTGTGGGGGGAACAGTCGCCCTGCCTGGGCTCTCTGTGGGCCCGGAGCCCAGCAGAGCCCTCAGCACGGCCTTCTGCTAAGCCCAGGGGGACAGGAGCAGGTGCGCAGGGCCTGGGGCCTGGTGGGAGGCGGCTGGACAGGCAGTGCTATGGGAAGGGGCACTGAGGGCTCTCATGGGAACCCTGCTGAGGGTGCCAGGCAGTGCCAGGCGGTGCTTGCACAGGAACTGTGTGCAGGGCAGCAGAGCTGGGCCGGGGCAGCAATGTGGTGCAGATGGGAGTCATGACGCTCCAGAAGCTCCTTTCGGTTGTGGAGGGGGACTCAGTACTGCTAGTGGGGCTGGGAGTTCTTTCAGGGGCTGCAGCCACTGGCATTACCTGCCAGGTCTCCCAGACCCAGCACAGATGGTAGGTGCCAAGCTCTGCAGCTCCCAGTGTCCCCTCTCCCGTGACACCCTCAGGAGACCCCCCAGGTGTGTCACCTCCTGCCTCAAGGCAGAAAGGAGTAGCTTGAGCTTCTTGTCTCACTCCTCCTGACCCAGGTTCTGCCCTTTGGTCAGCCCACAGGCTCTGCCCTGCTCATTTTCTGTCCGCACACCCTGCCATCTAAAGACAAATCAAGGCCTGCAGAGCAGAGCTCTTCTTGGAGCTGACCACCATTGGGTGCAGAGGGGAGCCATGACACTCCAAGAGCTCTCAGAGTGGAGGAGCATTCATCTCCCTCCTGTGCACACCACAGACCCACAGGGCATGGGATTCCTTTTGCCTGAGTGTTGGTTGGCGCAAAACAGCTATCTGCATGCATGCCCCTTGTTTAAGCCCTATTTTCTAATCGCTAGAGATAGGGGATAGGAGTCGGTTCCTTGGACAATAACATGTTGTGATGCCTGAGGTGCCAAGGGTGGTACAAGGCACATGCAAGGGTCTAAAAGTTCTATCGAAACAAGCCTGAGAGTTGCACATCCTTCGCAAGCATCAGCCGGTGGTCACAGGGGCAAGAAGGGCATCCTTGGCCGCCTCAAATGGAACCACACATGTGCATTTAGAGCACAGGAGCCCATTTTGGTCAGATATTTCCATGGAGCTTACAGGCCCAGGCAGCTGAGCTGACAGAGGATCCCACCATGAGGAGGGCCAACTGTCTGTCTGGGTACAACCACAGGCTGTAGCCATGGTCTACTTAGACTTCAGTAAGGCCTTTGACACCATCTCCCACTGCATTCTCTTGGAGAATCTGGCAGGTCTTTGCTTGGACCAGTGCCCTCTTTGGTGGGTGAAAAACTGGCTGGATGACCTGGCCCAGAGATGGTGGTGAATGAAGTTAAATGCAACAGGTGACTGGTCACGAGCAGTGTTCCCCAGGGGCCAGTGTCAGGGCCCGTCCTCTTTAATATCTTTATCAACCATGTGGATGAGGAAATTGGGACACCCTCAGCAAGTTTGCAGATAACACCAAGCTGGGAGGAAGAGTAGATGTGCTTGAGGCTCTGCAGAGGGATCTGCACAGGCTGAGGCCAACTGTATGAGGTTCAACAGCGCCAAGTGTCAGGTCTTTCATTTTGGTCAAAAGAACCCCATGTAGTGCTACAGGCTTGGGGCAGAGTGGCTGCAGAGCTGTGTGTCAGAAAGGGATCCGGAGGTGTTGGATGGCAGGTATCTGAACATGAGCCAGCAGTGTGCCCAGGTGGCCAAGATGGCCAAAGTCATCCTGGCTAGCATCAGGAGCAGTATAGCCAGCAGGACTAGGGAAGTGATCTTCCCCCTCTACTTGGCACTGGTGAAGCTGCACCTCAGATACTGTGTTCAGTTTGGGGCCCATGGCTACAAGAAGGACATTGAGGCAACAAGGACATTGAGGCAACAAGGAGGACATTGAGGTGTGTCCAAAAAAGGACAACAAAGTTGGTGAAGGGGCTGGAGTACACGCCTTCTAAGCAGCGACAGAGAGAGCTAGAGTTGTTTAGTACAGAGGAGGAGGCTCAGGGGAGACGTTAATCACTCTCTACAACTACCTGAAAGGAGGTTGTAGAAAGACAGGATCGATCTCTTCTGCAGCATAACTCCCAATAAGACAAGAGGAAATGGCCTACAGCTGTGCCAAGGGAGGTTCAGGTTAGATACTAGGCAAAATTTCCAAATGGAAAGAGTAGTCAAGCACTGGAACAGGCTGTCCAGGGAAGTGGTGAAGTCACCATCCCTGGCAGCATTCAAGAAACACGTAGCTGACGTGCTTTAGTGACATGGTTCAGCAGTTGAAGTTTTTACAGTTGGACTTGATGATCTCAAAGGTCTTTTACTACCATAGTGTTTCTATGATTCTGTGATTCACACGTTTCTTGAAGTGATAAGGTCCTAAGCAGTCAGGAGGGAAACAAGAGCCACCATGAAGACCACAACTGCCATTTTGAGGGCAATCCCAGAGCCCTTATCTTCAAGAGGGAGATGAAAGCAGCTGCAGGAGGTGCTTAGGGGAGACTGAGGGCTGAGTGTGAGCTGGAGATGGAGGCAGGGTCTCCTTGCCCTGTGCTCAGCCCTGGTGAGGCCAGTGCTGGAGGTTTTGCCCAGCTCTGCCCTTCCTGCCTGAAGAAAGAGACATGGGCCTAGTGGAGCAAGCCCAGCCACCAAAGGGGCATTGACTAAGGGCTTGGGGCATGTGTCACATGGCAAAAGGGTGAGGGAGCTGGAATTGTGTAGCCTGGAGAAGGTGTAGCATGGGGGGATGGGATCTTATCAGTGCGTCATGGAGATCCAGGGATCACCAGAGGAAGAGTGGTTTGGAAGGAAAATCATAAAATCTGGTAATTTTAAGGGAGCTAATCCTCTGATTCTTTTAAAGGGTGAAGGCCCTGTACTCCCTAGCCCCTTAGTCCTAAACCTTTAGCCCTAAGTGCTAGCCCTTTAGACCTAAGCCATTTAGACATAAGAACTGCAGAAACAAGGTTTTTAGCCCAAGTCCTTTAGCCCTAATCTATTTTGTCCCAAGTTCTTTAGCCCTAGAACTTTATACCTATGCCCTAGCCCTAGTCCTTTAACCTTTTACTTCTTTAGTCCTAGCCCTTTAGCCATAGTCCTGGTGCTTTAGCCCTAGCCCTAGAGCACTTTACTGCTAGCCCTTTAGCGCTAAGCACTAGACCTTTAGCCTTAAGACCTTTAGCACTAAGAGATTTAGCCTTAGCCCTTTGGCCCTAGCAGTTTAGATCTCAGCCCTAGCCCTTTAGCCCTAAGCCCTTTACCAGTAGCCGTTTAGCCCTAGACCTAAGCCATTTAGAACTAAGGCCTTTAGACCTGACCCTTTTAGTACTAGCATTCTAGTCCTAGCCCTTTAGCCCTTATCCCTTTAAGCCTAGCCCTGTAGCCCTTTTGCCCAAGGTCTTTAGACATTAGGTCTACCCCTTTGGGCATAAGCCATAGTTCTGTACACTAAGTCCTTTAGACATTAACCGTTTAGTCCTAAGCCCTTTAGCACTAAGTCCTAGCCATTTAGACCTTTAGCCCTAGCCCTTTCGGCCACAGCCATAGTTCTGCACCCTAGTCCTTTAGCCTGAACCATTGCCCTTTAGGCCTACCCATTTAGCTCTAAGCCCTAACCCTTTAGCCCCAGCCCTTTGGTCATAGCCCTGTATCCCTAAGTCCTAGCACTTACCCCTAAGCACTAGCCCTTTATTCCCTGGCCTTTTATCTCCAGCCCTTTGGCTTAGATCTTTAGACCTCAGCCCCAGCCATTTAGCCAAAGCGTTTTTTTACCCTAAGCCCATTAGCCTTGCCCTAAACCCTATAGAAATAGCCCTTTAGCACTAAGTGCTTTTGCACTAAGCCCTTTTCCCTTTAACCATAAAGCCTTTAGTCATAACACCTTTAGCCCTAGTCCTTTAGCCCTAAACCATTTAGCACTGAATTCTTTAGCCCTAAGCCCTAGCCATTTTCCCTAGCCCTACAGCGCTTTACTGCTAGCCCTTTAGCCTTAAACTCTTTAGATCTAGCTCTTTAGTCCTAAGCTGTTTAGCACTACACTTTTTAGCCCCGTAGCCCTAAGCCCTTTAACCCTAAGCCATTTCCCTAGCCCTTTTGTCCTAGCCCTTTAACACTAGCTCCTTAGACTTCAGTCCTTTAGCCCAAGCCTTTTCGCCCGTTAACCCAAGCCCTTTAGATCTAAGCCCTTTACCACTATCCATTTAGCCTTTGGCCTTTAGGCCTCTGGCCCTAGCCCGTTAGCCCTAACCCCTTTAGACATAGTACTCAGTCCTTTAGCCGAAAGCCCTTTAGCCTAAAGGTCTTTAGCCTTAAACCCTATCTCTCTAGCCCTAAGCCCTAGCACTTTAGTCCTAGCCCTTTAGCTCTAGCCCTGTAGCCCTTTATCCCCAGTCCTTTGATGCTAAGCCCTAGTCCATTAAACCTTTAGCCCTAGCCCTTTGCGCGTAAGCCATAGTTCTATAGGCAAATCCTTTAGGCCTACCAGTTGCCCTTTAGCCGTACCCATTTAGCTCTAAGCCTCAACCCTATAGCCCTAGCCCTTAAGCCCTGGCCCTTTGGCTGTAGCCCTAGTCTCTTTAGCCCTTTAACTGTAAGCCCTGGCACTTTATCCCTAAACCCTTTAGCCTAAAGTCTTTTTGGTCTAGCGTTTTGGACCTAGCCCTTTAGACCTCAGCCCTAGAGCTTTAGTCCAAAGATCTTTACCCTAAGCCCTTTAGCCCTAAGGCCTAGCCCTGTAGCACTAAGCTGCTTTCCATTTAACAATAACCAAGGGCACAGACTGGACTCTCTTCTGCTCCTGGTGTGCCTTGGTTCTCTTCATGAGACCTGGCTCTGTGCCACAACCACTGCTGCATGTCTCCCTGCCTGTTCAGAGCTCAGCCAACACTGGCCCTCTCTAGGCCGGCCCGGGCCCTCTCCAGGTCTCCCACCTCCCCTGCGCTCTCCCCAGCCCACCCAGCAGAGCAGCCCAGGCTGAGGGTGGCCCTGCAGCAGTGCCCAGCGCAAGGGACTGCACAGCTGGAGGTACTCACCCCACAGCCCAATCTCCAGGATGGAGGGCTCTGTATGTCAGCTGCCCCATCAGCCTCCATGCTGCAACTGGGCCAAGGGGCACAGTGAGACTCTGTGTCCTTTGTTTTGCTGTCCAGGAGATTCCTAACTCCCAGGCTGCCTGCAGCCCTCCATGCCAACCCCTCTCTCCAGCATTACTGCTACTGTCCTCCAGGTCTATCCTTGTTTCCCCAAGAGTCTTTCTGCAGGTCGGGACATTGGTGCTGATCCACCCAGCAGCAGGGCCCCAGGTGGCTGCTTCTGCTCTGCAGAGCAATTGGCAGGTGGCCTGTAGGGTCCCAAGGTGACCCCACACTGTCCATGGTGATTGCTGTGAGAAGCAGACCCAGCTGGACAGGCACCACTGCACCTGAAAACCCTTCCAAGGGGTCTGTGGCCATGGATGAAGATCTGAGCAATCATTCGGCTTTTCGAATGACTTAGAATGTGTTTGAGATTGTCCCAAGATCCAGCCCGTGACACTGAAGGGGACAGGAATGAAACTGCAGACACGCTTTTCTGTGCCTGCAGGGTCCCCTCTGCCACTTGTGGGACTGCAGAGCTCTCACTAGCCTGGACATTCTTTAGTTTTGCTCTTTATATTGGGGTGACTCCACTTGAGTTTGTGAAGCTGGATTCACATCCCGCCCTGAAGCACTTGGTACGCTTGGAGACACCCTGTGGTTTCCTAGGGGCTCCAGATCTCTCTCCAGTCCTGCTTGACCATTAATCACTTGCAGGAGCAGTGAACACCCAGAAATGAGAACTGGATCCAGCCCTCATTCCCTAATTTGTCATCTATGAGCTTATTGTCTGGAGCCCATGGAGAGCCCTGGAAAGCAGCAGGGTCTTGAAGAGTGAAAACCCTTGAGCAGTTATGACTCCAGCTTTGGAAGGAGAGACCAATATTCAGGCAACACACAAATCCCCTTTTATTGGAGCAAAGCCAAGACTGACACAGATGGGCAGACAGATGGGTAGCTTATTTCTGAGGAAGTAGTAGCAATTGAATGAGTTTCCTCAAGGCGTCCTTGATCTCCTTGTTCCTCATGCTATAGATGAGAGGGTTCAGTGTTGGAGGCACCACTGCATACAGAACAGCCACCGCTAGATCCAGAGCTGTGAAGGAGACGGAAGGAGGCTTCAGGTAGGCAAATGCTGCAGTGCTGCTGAACAGGGAGACCACGGCCAGGTGTGGGAGGCACATGGAAAAGGCTTTGTGCCGGCCCTGCTCTGACGGGATCCTCAGTACAGCTCTGAAGATCTGCACGTAGGCCACCACAATGAAAACTAAGCACCCATAGGCTAAGCTGGCACTAACCACAAGAAGACCAATTTCCCTGAGGTAGGAGTATGAGCAGGAGAGCTTGAGGATCTGGGGAATCTCGCAGAAGAACTGCTCTACCTCATTGCTTTTGCAAAGTGGGATTGAAAATGTGTTCCCAGTGTGCAGGACAGCATTGAGAAAGCCACAGGCCCAGGCAGCTGCTGCCATTTTGACACAAGCTCTGCTGCTCATGAGGGTCCCATAGTGCAGGGGTCTGCAAATGGCAACGTAGTGGTCATAGGCCATGACTGTGAGCAGACAATATTTTCCTCCTACCATGAAGACAACCAGGAAGACCTGTGCAGCACATCCAGAGTAGGAATTGGCCCTGGTGTTCCTTAAAGAATTGACAATGGATTTGGGGACAGTGGTGGAGATGAAACCCACGTCGAGCAGGGAGAGGTTTAGGAGGAAGAAGTACATCGGGGTGTGGAGACGGTGGTCACAGGCTACGGCTGTGATGATGAGGCCATTCCCTAGGAGGGCAGCCAGGTAGATGCTCAGGAAGAGTGAGAAATGCAAGAGCTGCAGCTCCCACCTGTCTGCAAATGCCAGAAGGAGGAACTTGTGGGAGCTGCTGTTGGACATCTTACTCCCTCATGTCATTGGGTACTGTCCAAAGAAGAGAAGGCATTGAGATATTAGGAGAGACTTTATTTAAGGAGAAAGAAGAAAACAAAACAACAACAAACCCTCTGAAATCATTCAGTTTTCATATCCCCCTCAAATTAGCTCTGTCATTTCCTATGGGCTCTTAGGGCAGTTCCTTTGCTGGGGCTTTGTCATTGACTGAGTGTGCTGTGAGGAGCAGGGACCTCAGCCCCTGGATTCCAGGTAGCCAGTTTTGCTGGACAGGTCTCAGAACTGTGGAATGGAGGTGATGAGCTCAAGTATTTACCATTTCTGTCAGGTGAAATCTACTCAAGATGTAGATGGTCTTTTTGGCATCTTCCCTCCCAATTATAAAGAAGGAGGTTGAGGAACAGAGGTTTATGGAATTGTTCAATATTTCTGTTTGATTTGAGATGTATTTGTCACACCTGGGGAGCGTCCCTCAAAGCAGACCTCCTTGGCATTTCTACTCTGAGTCCAGGGAGAAAAGCATCCACTGTCACTATTTGCAGAATGGGGACATCTCATTTGTCTATTAATCTGTTTTCCACCTGTCCTGTGTTTGCATCTCCTTGAGCTAGAAGATGGTCATGTTCATAGGCTGCCCTAAAAGGAGATCAGTCCTTGCTGAGAGCAGAGCAGTGCAGTTTCTAAGTGCCCATCTCCACATTTCTCACTCTGTCTCCATATACTTAAGGGAGGTCTCCACACTCTTGGCCAAAGACACACAGGGCTCATTTCATTTGCTTATGAGCAGCCTCCCACCACCACCTCCATCCTCTCTACATCTATGCAGCTTCCTCACAGGTCTCTCGGATATCACAGATATTCCATGAGGCAGCAGAGCCTTTCTGAAGGGCAGGTTCTGTTCCACAGCTTTGAGCCTCAGCGTTTGAACTGCAGCTGAAAACACCCAACCCCAGAAAGCTGAGAGCAAGAACAGGAGCAGCTTGTACAGGAGGGGAAACAAGGAGCAAGACCATGGCACTCCTACCAAGGGAGGCGAGGAGCAGGACAGAGGAGAATTCTGGAAAGCCTTCGCCTTATGCAGCTGGGTGTGCGACTTCGCAGAGGGTGGTATTACAGAGCAGTGACTCTCAGCCGCTTGGTGGGGCTGCAGGGAATTGGGCCGTGGCAGGAGAGATGCCCCTGGATATTGATGGAGCTCTGGCTGCAGAGGAGGCGGCTCCTGCCCTGCACTTCCTTCCCCTTCCCTGCCCATCTCTGCTGCCTGCAGCTGTCCCCGCTGCCAGCTCTTCCTCTGTCCCTGTGTCTTGTCCCTGCCACTGCTCACAGATCCCATATCACCCTCTGTCTGCTCAGCCCTGTCCTGCAGAAACCTCAGGGCAATGTCCAAGGGCAGCTCTGCAGTTGTAGGTCCTGAGAAGTAGGTCACATAAAGTCCTAGGAGGCCACAAAGATGATAATTGATTCTGCCTCTAGGTTAAGGTGGGGATGAAGCAGCTTGTAGAGACCTATTTTTCAGAGTGAAAGTTTAGGACTCCCACTTTCTTTCCAAAGCAGAAAACTTGTTCCTTCATTCTCTCTGCCAAAATAAGGAGACTGAAAGAGCAGAGACACGAAGGAAAATTCCTTCCCTTCCAAGTAGCCCTTCTCTTGATCTTCTCCTGTGAAGGACCCCTCACACATGCCCTGTTTATGAGCTGGAGCTGTGAGCAGACTTCAACCATGCAGCAGCTTCTTAGCAACAGAATGAACCTGCCCTGACTGGTGTCTCTCCCCCCAAGCAAAGCTTCCGCACAGTCCTGTGGGGACCAGTGTGAGCAGGATGTGTGCTGCCCCTCGCAGGTTGCAGAGTCACTGTCCCAGGCACACAGCACCCTGGGCGTGATGGATGTTGCTCTGAATCACAGCCCATGCAGAGCTGTGTGCAGACCACAGCTTCGCACCCCTGTGTCTTCCCTGAGAGAAGGGAGCAGCATGCCCTGTCCCTGTGACCGTATGGCAGGGAATCCCTGCTCTGAAGCATCTCCCTGTCCTGCTAAACCCTGCATACTCCAGGAGATAGATCTTTAAAATCCAAATCCATAATTCCAGGCACTGAGTTCAGAAGAGCCCCCCAGGAACCTCAGCAGCATTGCCCTGCAGCCAGAGACTCACCATGTCAAGGTCTGGAAAGATTTCTCCCACAACAAGCTCTCCTTTCTCCTTCAGCAGGATCACCTCCCTCGACCTGCTGGAGATGCTCTTCTTAATGCAGCCCAGGATTCCATTGGCCTTTTTGGCCACGAGGGCACACTGCTGCCTCATGGTCAACTTATCATCCACCATGACACCCAGGTCTTCCTCTGCCCTGCTCAGGAGCAGAGGAGGTGAACTCACCAATTTCTGTGTCCCTTGTCTCCCCTCCTCCTGGGAAATGTGCATGAAGTAAACTAAAAGAATCACACTTGTTGTCCTTTCTTAACAAGTAGAGAAAAAAAAGATTCCAAAATTGCAGTCTATTTCATCAGAGGATGACTATCTATGCAAGTTAGAAATGTCCCACTCTGGAAGACCCTAGTTCGGAAGCCCCTAATAGGCAGGACACCCAGACAGGGGCAAGCAGGGAGCTCATGGATTCAGATGAGTCAATATCGGCATCCCACGCTGGTTCAGAAGCCCCTGGTCTGGCATGGGATTCACATTCCTTCCATGAACTCCACAAACACTCAGAAGCTGGGCTTCTGCTTGCATGCACTGAAGTGTACACAGCACTGACATGTGTATGGGAGCTCCTTCTCTGAGCTCCCCTTGTAATCACTGGTGATGGTGGGTGCGAGCTAGATGACAACACACGAACACCTGGTTGAAGAGACAGAGGAGGCAGTGAAAAGTTGCCCCTGTTAGCTTGCTTCGATGGAGCAAATGAGAGACCCACATCCTCATGGAGCTTCAGGAGAAGGGCACATGGGGAATGTCCTTGGCCAACTCAAATGACCCCAAATGCCTTCCACTACTATGTAAGCACCACGCAGTATAAAGCAGAAACCCTGGTGGATCTTTACGGTGCAAATAGTTCATATAATTCAATACAGATATTTGATTGAATCACCAAAAGTTCCACAGGAACTTAAGAAAAAAAATCTTAACAGTGAGGGTGACAGAGCACTGGAACAGGTTGCCAAGAGAGGTTGTGGAGTCTCCTTCTCTGGAGATCTTCAAAACCCACTTAGATGCAATTCTGTGCCACGTGCTCTACGTGACCCTGCCTGTGCAGGGAGGTTGGACTAGATAGTCTCTAGATGTCCCTTCCAATCTTTAAGATTCTATGATTTTATGACACAGAAATAGGCTGCAGGACCAAGACAAATGCCTGCATTGTCCAGCATAACAAAATGTTTCCTCTCGGAGACACAGCCTGGGATATATGGGAAGCCATGTTCCATCTCTCCTATAGCTGAGCACACTTCACTAATGAGAGAGGCACATCACAGCAAGGGGCCTGCTCTGGTCTCTGCACTCTTAAAAGCTTCTCGCTTTGCTCCCACAGAACCTCTTTTCACTGTGTAGGACATCAGGGGCTGATGATGACCCCAGGATGGCTGGATCACAGCTAGCTCAAGCCTAAGGACATCTTCAGGGGCACCTTCTCCTGCCTGGAGATCGGCTCACTTCTGTCCCAGCCCCAGTGTGCTGCAGATCAGCTCTGGCAACAAACCCCTCTCCTGACGTTCCCTCACAGCCCAGCTCTCTTTCTGCCTGCCCTTGGCACTGCACCCTTTGCTCTCTTAATGGGAACCTCCTCTCACCATTGCATTGACACCTGACCTCCATGCCAGCATGTCTCTGCTCTCAAGTGGGGCCATTGCACACAGTGTCTTTAGTTCCTGGTGACAAGTTTCACCAGGACCTATTGGTCTTCTGTGCCACTCCTGATGTTCTACAGCCCAAATATATGGAAATGCCTGTAGCCTGGCATGGAGGCAGGAGCATAAGCTGTCACAGGACCTCAACATCATTGGAATAATTGAGATGCATTAGCACCACTCACAGAACTGGAGGCCTGCACTGCTGGGGTAAAAGCTCTTCAGGGAAGACTGTCAAGGAAGAGGAGGAGGGGGTAGGTCCTTTGTGTGGAGGGGAAGCTCAGGTGTACAAAGTGCTTCCATGGCATGGACAAGGGTTTGGGTAAGCACTTGTAGGTGGGCATCAGATTAAGGGTGACATCATGCTGTGAGCTACAGGCCATGCAGTTAGTCTGGTGGGGTCGATGACATCTTTAAGCAATGTGACAAAGTTGGTGAATCTTAGGCCCTGGTAGAACTGGCAGAACAGGTTGGAAGGCTCTTTAATCCCCCTTACATTCATTGGAAAGGCAAAGAGCAGGGCGCAAACAGGCTGTGAGGTTTCTGGAGTGTGGGCACCAGATGCAACAGAGAAGTCTCAGGTAAGGTGGAAGAAATCCAACAATTTGTGTAGAAACAGGATATAAAATCCAGCTACTTTGAATAAAAGGTAAAGTGAAAAATAAAACCAAAAAATATATAAATATAAATAGTGAAAAAACAATGTTCAGCGTTGGTATGGGATGCTGTAGGAGTCATATTTTTGGAAAGCAATGACAATTTTACCAAGGCTGAAAAATATCCATGAAATTATTTTCCTCTGTCTCCTTGAGTGCCTTGTTCCTTGTTGCCATAGATGAGGGGGGTTCGGTGTTGGAAGCACCACCGAGTACAGAACAACCACTACCAGATCCAGAGCGGAGGAGGAGACATAGGGGAATTCAGGCAGGCAAACATGCCAGTGCTAAAAAAGAAGGCAGACGGCAGGCAGGTGTGGAAGGCTCATGGAAAAGGCTTTGTGCCGGCCCTGCGAAGATCTGCTCGTAGGATAACACTATGAAAATGAAACGCTCAAACATTAAACTGGCACTGATCATAAGAAGGCCAACTTGGTTGAGGTAGGAGTGTGCGCAGGAGCGCTTGAGGATCTGGGGGATTTCACAGAAGAACTGTCCACAGAGTTCTCTCTACGGAAAGAAAACATGAAAGTGTTAGCAGTGTGGACTGGAGCAGTGAGAAAACCACAAGTCCAGGCAGCTGCTACCATTTGGACACAAGCTCTGCTGCCCAGCAGGGTCCTGTAGTGCAGGGGTCTGCAGATGGCAACGTAACAGTAAAGGGCTATAACTGTAAGAAGAAAACATTCTCCTAAACTCAAGAAGATAAACAGAGACCTGTGCAGCACATCCTGAGTAGGGAATGGCCCTGGTGTCTCTAATCACTAGAGACAGAGGGTAGGAGTCAGCTGCTCGAATAACACCTTGTTATGCCTGAGGCGCCAGGGATGGTCCAAGGCACACACAAGGGTCTGCAAGTTGTCTGGGAATGATTCTGAGAGATGGACATCCTTCCCAAGGACCAGCTCATGGCCAAGGAGGGTAACCTTGGCCACCTGAAATGGAACCAGACCTGGGCATTTAGGGCACTTCAGCTCAAATGAGAGCACGGCAAAGTGATGCATGCATGTCCCTGCATGGCAGGCACCTAAATTCAATCCGAGGTCTCATTTCAATAGCATAATCTAGGTCTCTGGAGCTCTGCCAGGTGCCCGATGTGCCCAGTGCAGCCACACATGGCTGGCAAATTCAGCACAGCTCCTCCAGGAAAGACAGCACCTCCCGGAGTGGGTGCAGAGGTGAGAGGGCCTAGAGTGGGGCCTCTCCAGGTAGTCAGGGCCTATGGACCAGCAAGTGAGCACCGACACATGAAAAGAGGAATCACTAATGGGGAGGCACAGCACCCAGAGGCTCCACTTGTCTATGCTTTAAACCCTGACAATTCTGATCTTCTCAAACCTTCTTACCCCAGCTAAGACAGTAAGTTGCCCTTCCTGCACATCCTCTGCACCTCTGTCACATGCCCCAAGGTGCCTGAGAGTCCCCTGGGGCAACAAACCCCTCTCCTGTAGAAATATCTCGGGAGAGGAAGAATGCCACCCGTGCCTAACTGTGACTGGGAAGCACAGGGGAACACAGCAGTGTGCTTCTGGGAGGCAACCTGCTCCGTCCCTCAGGCTAGTCCAGTGACTTGTGACAGTCACAAGTCCTCTGTGTACCAACCTACAACACCTGCACACACACCCCCATGGTCCCTACGGCACTGCCACAGCCTTTGAGGGCCTCACACGCCTTAGTTATGCCCATTCCCCTGCTTGCTGGCCTCATGGGGACAGTAAAGGTGCTGCTGGTGCAGTCAACAGGCAGGGTGGGCAAAGGCACTTTTGGAGCTTCCTCATGACCTGCTGATCTCTCCATGGACTTTGGAGTCTTCAGTCATTGCCCTTGGGGTGGCCTTTGCTCTGGCACAGTGATGCACAGAACATGTCTCCAGCAGCATCCCTGCACATCAGGGCATGCACTGATGCAAGAAGGAGAAACATGTCCTAAGGATTCAGGGTTTAATTCTGCATTTCAGATACCATAATTCATATTGATTTAACATACCCTCCTACCAGCTTATTACAAGTTGAAATTGGAGAGAGGAGAAGGCGGATATGGCAGATTAACAACTGGCTGCGCCGCTGGGCTTGGCAACAGGGTTTTGGCTTCTATGACCATGGGACTCTTTTTTACGACCATGAGCTAGTGGGAAATGATAGGATTCATCTCAGCAAGAGGGGCACACGTCTCTTTGCCAAAAGGCTGGCCAACCTGGTTAGGAGGGCTTTGAACTAGACAAGAAGTGGGGAGGGGAGTGTCACACAGACACAGCGAACAGTACTGTGCAGCCTAGGTCAGATGGCTTCCGGCGGGAGTATGCTAGGGGGGAAGTGAGGATAGGAAAGGATCGTGGAGGGTCCTCTTGCACCCTCCTGGGAAACCTGCGGGCTCGGTTACTTCCCTGAAATGCCTGTACACCAATACGCAAAGCATGGGGAATAAGCAGGACAAACTGGAGATTTGTGTGCGGTCCCAGCGTCATGATCTCATTGGAATCACAGAGACGTGGTGGGATAGCTC